TAATTATGGTTTTAAAATTTAACGACTTTTTTTACCTCGTTAAAGGATTTTTAGTTTGACAACATATTAATTGAGAATTACGGTTTTAAAATTAGTATCATAAAGTTGCCATTGGAACGATAGAACAAATTTGCAGAAAATCATATTGGCTTCCCTGTATATGCAAAGTTATTTTCAAGTTTGGTTTTTTTAAGGACAGGATTATTATTCAAGATTATATATGATTTGAGGGTTTGAAACAATTACATGTTGCATTTTGTTTCACAAAGGCAGTGCTGTATTTTTATTCTAAAAGCAATGCGTACAACAACAACTAGATTCATTACCCGGTATAAAATTGAAGAACGTCCATATTATCCCTAATATACACATGTAGAAAGGTTAAATACAGAACTGTTTTATTTGCAGTGTTGGGGAGCAGAGTACTGCCATTAGCAGTTTCGGCATTGCGGATTTTGCGATGCAGTTCAGAGTGGTGGGCTCACATGAGGGGCAACCAATAGAACATTTTCCGTTTCCGTTGCGTTGGCAGAAATGTTTCCCCCGAAAACTCGTTTCCTCCGCACGTGTGAAAACCCCAGCTCAGAGCCCCAGGCCCAGCTTCCGAATGCGGTGACCCCAAAACCCGAACCCGAACCCCAACTCGGCCCTCTGGGGTGTACCCCTCCACGAGCTTAAATAAAAATACGTTTTAATAGCCAAATTACGCAATCGCTTAGGGAAGGGCAGAGTGTGTATTTGGGTGTGTGTATTTCTGCTGCGTTGGGCAACATTTCGGTGCCCATCGACCTCAGAAGTTTGCAGCTTCTGGCTGATTGCATTGTTGCATCACCCACTCGATTGCTCTGAGGGCTGCTAAGGTGGTCCTAGGTGGTGCGAGGTGGTGTAAGGTGGTGCCGCGATCCTGCACATGCAGCACAATTCGCAGCTCGGTCCGCTCCGCAGTCGGCTTAATTTTTTAATTGCATTAAATAAAAGCCAAATAATAATTGCATAATTGAATGAGCTGTGCATACGCCAGGACGTGTGTGGGCACATATTTTTGGTTTGTTTGTTTTCACCCCTCCCAAATCATTGCAAACGGTGTTGTTTTAATGAGGCTGCCTGCGTTTGTTTAACTGTGAGCAGCTCAGAGAGGCAGATATGATGTATCAATTATGTGATAAACTGAAGAGCGGAACTTAAATGTTAAAGCTTACACAGAGAAAATTCTGACGTTCAGAAATTGAAAACTTGATTTCTCAACTTCAGGATATACTCATTTCGAGTACTGGTTTTGCCCAAAAACTGACATTGAGAATATTTTTACTCATTTAAAGAAAAAATACTTAAACTGAGGATATATTCTGAATTTGAGAAAAAATGTGCTAATAATGAGGCAAAATGTACTCAAAATCCGTGGTCTAGCGGTCTGAAATGTCCGGACCAGGAAGCCAACACCCAAGGTTTTGAAGTTCCGAGTTCACTTTGAGTTGTTTGATTCTTTTTTGTTTTTCGTTGCTTTCATTTTTATAATGCTTATTCAATGTAACTCTTTACCATTTCTAAAAAATACCGCAAATATACTGCTTAAAATACGAATTCGCTTTGAAATAAAATAGTTGTGCGACTTTACCTTACTGAGAAGTTAGATCATGCGTGGGCGAGTAGTTAAGGCTTACATCTAGAGTTGGAAAATCCCGGGTTCAATTCTCAGTAGAGGCATGTGCTTTTCATAAAAATATTTCGTAAATAAAATGATTTCATTAAACTCGTAAATTAATAATATAACATAATGCAAAACAAACAATAAAGTTGAAAGAAATTGTTAGTTACATTTTTGGCAGATTAATTTTGGTAGATTCTCATTATAAGTTTTTTTATTCTTGAAAATTTGTACTTAAACTGAGTAAAATAGTCTCAAAGTGTGAATTTTTGCTCTTAGATTTTTTTTGAGTACGAATATTCTCAGATTGAGTGCAATACACATACTTGATTAATTTTCTCTGTGTAGTAATCAATGGAGAATGCTATCCTAATACCCCTTTAATATAACAAAATAAGAAAGAATAATATAGGGCCAAACATACCAAGGCAATCTAAATTTTACGTCAAATAATACTTTACCTAATGCTATTAAGTTGATTGAGCCGCTTAACAACCAGCTCTTTTCTAACCGTATTTTTGAACGGTTTTGTCATCCTGCCTGGCTTAGTTTATGACTCGACTGCTCCTAACTTTTTCCCATCCCACTCTTCATTTTCTGGTTCCTGACCCTGCACCCACCCACTAAATTGCATTCGCTGCATGCTGCCGTTATCGCTGCTCTGAATTTTTTCGAGCTGCTGCTGCGCCAGCCGAAAAACGTCGGTCGGAAAAAACAGTTCGGAATGAAAAACAATCTGCAAAAACACTTATAAAAGTTGACAGGCGTGCAGCGGACAAGTTTTTCGACGAACTCAACTCGCTGGGGCCTCCACAGCTCCACAGCTGCTGTTCCACCATGGAGCCATGGAGCCAGGGAGTCACACGTTGGGCCAGCAAACATTTACAATTTATTGCGCATTTGCCTACAAAATATCACCCAATTCCGGGCCAAAAGGGAGCGCTTTTAATGGAGTTAGTGGCGAGGGCAGTCCGCAGATGTGGGGGCGGGTGGCTGCAATGGATGGGCCGTGGGCGTGACATTACAGCATGTTTCATTGCACATTTGATGAATTTATTGCAGTTTAGAATTTTTTGCACACTCTGCAGCCGTTGCAGTACCCTCCTTCCATAAACGGGCAAGGAGCGTAAAAACTTTGACTGCGATGCGACGGCGACCCGAGTACAGGCGGGACTGTACTTTTCGAGCAGATGAAGCTGTCAAAACGAATGTTTAGAAGCTTATTTATAGTTTGGCCCGTGATAAGCGTCCCATGAAATTAAGTTCGCTCTCGTAGTTCGTTCCATTGGATGGCAGACTCTGTCCGCTGGCAAACTGGCAACTGGCAACTGGCAACCGGCACTGCTCAGTCATTAAATCAGGTTGCACAAATTAAGCAATTGCGAGGTGTCCTGCTCACCTTTCGCTCCGGCGCTTAATTACCCACTGATTACAGGTAGGACCCAGCGAGGCCACTTGCTTTATAGCCCGGCTAAGTGGTATTTACGTTTTAATTTAACGCTTCTGTTTCAGCTCAGCCCTGGCGGGCTTCCTTCGTCCGAATCGCCAGTCTGGCGAGCGCCCAATACGCTTTCGGTTTCAGGAAGTGCATCGCACAAAGGGTCGCATTAAAGCAGAGGCCAGAAGGAGCCAAGCCAAGGCGAACCGGAAGCCGGGTCTAAGAGTCTCAGGGACCTTAAGCCAAAATCGTAGTTGCACGGGGCTGGGGCACATTAACGTCTGTAATTGCTGCGGCTGGCCCAGACTACCCCTAACGACAGGACGAGGACAGGACAGGACGAGGACAGGACAGGACAGGACACCCGGCGAGCGACTTGTGACGCCTGCTTCCGTCCTCGCGGATGCCCCTTCAAGTGGTTTTTGATGACAAAATGAAAGGTAATTTCAGCGAGATTTCGCCCCGATTTTCCAGCTCTGGAGTGTCCAAGACAAATGACAAGTTATGCCAGCGGCAGGACCCGCAACGGGGCTGCCCAGACGGGGCCCTTGAGTAGGCCTTTGTCTCGCCAGGCCGGCGATTTGCCATCAGAAGTGAGCAAAGCGCTGGCGAAAATGTTTTTCGGCCAACAGGAAATTGTGGCCGCATTAGGGATAAGTGGATGGCCTGGCAAGAAATCGTTACAAAGACTCTCAGACCCATTTTCCCTTTGTGTGTTTTTAAGTAATTACTGCTGTTCGACTGTTTCCCATATCGGAGATTCACTGCGATTGCCGCTGCACCCCACTAGCCGATGCAATCCTGGCTTTAATCAGCGAGCCTGCGGCCAAGCGGAGTGCTCCCATTAAAAGCGAAACAAAACAGGGGCAAAACAGAGGGGATTGGAGTTGGAGTTGGAGTTGGAGCACTCGCATCTATATCTCCGACTGTCTAACTGCTGGCTGGGCTGTGTGTGCGGGTCCATGGCGGTAAATCTTTATAAGCGCGAATAATTGGTTTCCTCATTTAATGCGAATGGCTGCCGCTGCTCGGGTGAAAGGGCAGATTCAGAGGCAGAGGCCATGCAATCGCCATAGAAAATGCCTCACAATAAACATTTCTTTTGCCGCTTTTCCCCATTCCCAACTTAGCCGGCTGTCGGAACAAACAGCAGGAGTCATAATATTGCAACAGCATCGGATTGGTGCCAGTGGACTGGGTGGCTCGGTGGCAGGAGACGAGCACGGACGAGGCGTCAGCTCTGAGAATCGTGCACTGGGGCTGGAAAAGAAATTGCTGGAAAAAATTAATTGCATTTTCATTATGTTGACTGGCAAAGTCAAAAGGGAGCGGGCGGAAAGCGACTGGAGCAGACAGACAAATGACATGGATATAGGCGCTTATTTTTTATCCAGATGGGGGGAAATGGGATATAGCATGGGCGAATACTAAACTGTCGTTAGCTTCAAGTTGGCTTGGGCCATTAAGCAAACGAAAGTGGACTTAGCTAAAAGAGATAGTAGTAGTTGAACTCCTTGCGTCTTGCATAATCAATCTACGCCAATGAAAGTTAAGAGCACCGAACTCCGCGACTCCTTATCGAAAACCCACAAAAGCATTTCAAAAAGTGCGGAATGAGTTGCGATTGCTTATCTAGAAGAGTAGCAACGGGCCCAAGTTGATTTCGCCAGCACAGGTTTCTATCGAGAGTCATGGCTAAATCAGTGATAAGCGTCCGACTATCACATGGTCTGCGAAGGGGTTATGTGGGCGGCAATGAGATCAGCATGAAAAAATAGGGTATTCATGGCTTCAATTCAATGGAAAGCAATGGTGGAATGATGATTCATCAGTGTGTGGTAGACTGATGGAACGAAAAGAGACGCAACCCGCGGAAAGATAACACATTTACGATACGATACGATATAACTTACCTGGTAAAAACTCTCAACTGCTCTCGTTTTCTGTTAGTTACCTTCAAATGGCACTCGAACTTATGTGATGTACACGGGTCTTGTCGAAAGTAGAATAGAAGAATCTCACAGCGGATTGAACGAAACATGTGATAAGCCTGCTATTCTACTTGCCAAAGACACGCCGATCGAGGAAAATACCAGGGGATAACTCCCTTCGACACCTTAATCCACCAGGTCTATATAGAACCAAGCACTGCACATCCGATCACCTGGAGCACCGCAACCACGTTCAACCACGAGCACACTGCACACTTCACACTTCGGAGTTCAATAACGAAATAATGACATATATTCATAGATATTGCTTTTTATACGATACGTCTTATCTGGCGAGCGATTTTTATTTGCTTTACCTTTAGGTGCGAAAGTGTGAGTGTGAGTGTGAGTGCTGCAGATAACTGGATTTGGATTGGGACCTCTTATCGATTCCCCGGCGAGTGAGTGAGCAGTGGGAACCGTCGCCCGATATGACGAACTATACCTATGACGAATGTGAATGTGTGCCGGACAAACACGTCTAATGCGCCCGATGGATAGGCCAAACAGGTTGGGGCTCGATCCCTAAGCAAATCGGAAGGGGTAGAGCCAGCTCCAGCACCAGCAACAGTATCAGTATCAGAAGAAACAGATCCCTGGCAAGCGCCGATATCGCTCGCAAACCGGCTGATAAGCGAGGTCCGAAAACATGGCTCTTTGCTCGGAAGCGGGCAAACACGGAGACGAGCGATTGACAGCTCCGAGGCAATAGAAATTGTGTAAAAAGGTCGTCGATAAGACACACACAGCACCGCTTGTTTGGAGATGTGTTGCCGATCGACCCAGTACCCAGTACCCAGTACATGCTTCCACTGAGGCACCTACCTACCACTACCAGGCATACCTTTCAGATAAGATAAAGACGGGCACCTTCGATACATGCCGATCGCATGAGCGCTGGCCGAGAACGAGATGTCAGCCGTCCGTCATATTCGGGCATCGAAAATTCGATTTCATGGGATAATCAAATATTGTAAATTTCCAATATGCCTTCGATAGTCGAGATCCTAATCTCTGGGAGTGGCATTACGACCGTACCATAGGTAAGATAACTGCCATGGCATAACTTAGTTGCTTTTCGAGAGTTCGAGTTTACCTTCCTGCCCGTATAGCTATAGGTATTAACCCACATTTCTTGTCTTATCAATCGCCTACCCGACTATTTCCGTCTTAGACTGTAACTATGTGATTATATAAACCAACTATGGCCACATGGCCAACACATACTTGTACTAATTCCAGGTAAGCAGGCGTCGAATTTCTTCTTTTACGATTTCGGTGCGTCCCGCTTTCGGGTATACTAAAAGTATGCGCCATATCTTATCTCGATTCAAAGTGAAAAATATATACACACATCGATAATGCCCCTTTCGCTACCCGCCGAAGCTTCTCCGCTCCGATAAGCCGTGAGTAAACTTCTTGAATCGGTAGAACCTGTCCGGGTCATAAGTCCCACAAATAGAGGTTTCTGGTGCAGGAATAGGCCTGCTTTGGAGGCATTCTCACACAGCTAAATTTAGAGGCTTCCTTCATGATTTTGGCTGCCTAGTACAGTCTTTATTTGACTTTGCTGGCGACTTTGTTTTGGGGTATTTTCATTTTATGACATGCGCGACACAGTTTTGCGACTTTATAAGTGGTTCCCCATTGATAGCAAATCGATAGCTCGAGTATTGTGTTTGTCCTGCTACAAAAACAGGAGAGTCCAGCCACAAGTGCAGCTTACGAAAGATCTATCTTCTTAGCTAACACATCCTAAATAGCCCCGATAATGTGAGAAAATAGTGCAATTTTGCATTGCACCCCTCGTTCGGCAGCATTCGCACGTAAAATTGATTAAAAACTACGTGTTCCGATTGCTGAATGCATTCAAACATTTCAGTTTTGTGGAAAGGGTATGCAGTAGGCCGAACAATGCAACCCCCTAAATGGTGAAAAGGTGAAAACTTGGTTGAACTGGGAGGGCGGCAGAGGCCTGTAAGAAAAACTCGTCCATAAAGAAATAATAATTTCCGCTCCAGGTGAGTTGATTTTCAATTTCCGGGCAAGTGGAGAGAAGCACAAAAATGTTTCGCCTCCCGCAACACAAATGCTATTCAAGAGATTAAAGGGCCAAAGGTCGTGGACCGCTAAAAAGTCACACACAGCACGGACATTTTCGCATTTCACATTTCACCTGCGGCAGCTTGCAATGAAAAATCGTTTAATGACACCATTCACACAGTCGCTTCAGTTCGGATCCGAAGGGTCCCTGGGGCTGGAACTGTGACTGTGACTGTGACTGGGGCTGGGCTCCCATCCCGGCCCTTTTGACTAGACTGCCTTTGCGCAGTCATTTCGACAGTGTCAGTCTGTCAGCCGACTAGAAAAAGGCCATAGGCAACAATTGCAGCGCGAAAATGGGAGCAACATTTGTGGCTGTGGGCTGCAAAGGCGACTGGGGGGTGGAAACGGAAAGGGGAAGGAGGAGGTGAAGGACATTCACCAGCAGGCAGCATCATTTGTCAGGCTCTGGCACGGCAATTAGATCTGCCGCGTTTCAGTTTCTATTGCAATCCAGTTGGGCACTCAGAAGAACAGAGTCTAAAGTCTAAAGACAGTGCCTTCTCAATCAATCAACTGAGAGGCCTCATGATCTATTAATGTGTCGTTGATAACTGCATTTGCGCCATATCCCAAGAAAGTCATCACTCAGAAAACTGGTCATATATTGAATTCCCAGAAGAAGGAGTCTTCTTCTCGCTGAAAAGGGTAACGGACGACACCTGTTGGCCAAAGTATACCTCTGAGGGGACTGTACTCGAGGTGCGCTGACTTGTTCATATACCATTCGAATTTATATTATATGCGATCGCCAGAAGGTTGTTTTAATTTAGAGCCGTCTATAGGCCCCGATAAGATATACAATATACAATGTTGTTGCCGCGTTCCACTTTTGAGGTAAGATTTCGATTTATGATTAGGCATTTGGACATAGGCAAACAAGCTGTGCACCCAGCGCACAGATAGCGTCGATTTGAGCTTGGGGCTTTGGTAGAAGGCCGGGCCAAAGTTCGGAAGGGGTACACTTTCCACCTCCTCCCCCCTTGAGTCTGAGTCCTGCATATCACAGCCTCGCCCTTTCCAAACGTTTGCTAATTGTCCATGCATCTCATGTGTCAATTTCGCATTTGGCCAGCAATTTTAATCAATACACAAAAACCGCACGAAAGTCAACCAATGTTCTCCCCCAAGGCTAATAGGCGTGGTCACGCCCACTACTCCTACTACGCCCACTCACCTAAGTCCCAGCAGCCCAGCCACCGCCCATGCGATTGTCCGAGGAGGAGAGGCAGTCACTTTTGAATGCCGCAGCACGTAGAGCTCGTTAGACATTTTCTTAAGCTAATATTTTCACAGCGCACAGCGAACACGGACATCGACGGCATCGAGGACGGCAGAATGAGATGGAGGAGAGCCAGCCAGGAGGAGATTATTCAAATGATTGGAAATTATCATGTGCTTGCATCCATTTTCGGGGCTGCCAGTTGCCAGTAGCCAGTTGCCAGGCTCTTTGCTCGATGCTCGATGCTTCCTGGTCCAGGTTCGGTGTGCAAACAACAAATTGCATTTGTCATCTGCTGCATAAATAACGAGATAATACCGTAACATAATAACTGTCAATGGAAGGCCCTTCCACCAGCGATGCAATCGTGAATTGTGGCTTAGGGAATCGCTTTTGGTTAGAATCAAAGTAGTAGCATTCGGGTTACCTCATGTTTGAGTTTGCAGATACTTAGGAATGAAAGCTATAGTCGATGAACGTACATGTAAATAACACCAACTATGTTTCCATTGTGTAGAGCAGCTCAACAAAATAGTAGTTTGTCAAAGGTCATTTCGTACAAAATTATTTGCTCAAATCTTATTAAAGTATACTTTTTCAGCTATTTCAGCATAGGAACAAAAAGTTGTGCATTTTAATACACTTGCAAATTTTGGTATATATGGGCAATAAAGAAGATTAAAACGCAGTGAAGAAGACATTTCCAAACCCTATATGGTGGTATGTGGATCAGCAAAAGAGTCGATCTAGCCCTGACCGTCAGTCATTCTGTCCAACTGCCTTACCCAAGCTAATCTGTCAGTTTCTAAGCTATCAAATTATTTTAATATTTCAAGGTTTAGTAATGGTTTACTCTTTAAGTCAAATAATTCATTTCATCAATTGAAACTAACGAAAAATTCAGCGTAAAATCTTCATAAAAGAACAATAATTGTTTCAATTGCTGCAATTCCTAAAGTTTGCTTTCGTTTCTTTGTTAGTTTTGTTTTTTTGAAATTCAACAACGAAAATAAAAACGAATCTCATAATATCAATGAGTCATAATTCATAATGTGTTACATTTTTATATTATTTATTTTGTTATTTTAAGACTTTTATATCGTTATCTATAAAGTAAATATAACGTAAGCAACATTTTCTGCATTTTACTTATCATAAAGTAAAAGTTGATCCAGTTTAAGTAAAACACATGTTTTGAAAACGGACAAAGTTGTCTACGCGTTTTGAAAATTGAAGGCCACTTTACATAAAAAGCGATCACAAGAGCACTCAAGAACCTGGTTTGTTTGAAATAAATTATTTTCGAAAGAAACTACAAAGTTGTTTTAGCGAACAACTACCGGCCATTCAAGTTAAGACAGCTAACACAACACGATTTGGTTTCCGAAACTAAAAATGTATGTTTCTTTGCCATAAACTGTTAGATAGCACCAGGTATTTTATACCTGCGTGTCACGTTCTCATCTCTGCGAAGGGCCAGGCAATAAGTTCGCCCTGTTCGGGGCCCTCGTCCTCCAGCAAGGTAATCTACTCGCACGTGAGAGGCTCTCACTCTGTCAGTGGGCGACAAATGAGAATTTGTATCGTCGATTTGCATATTTAATCAAAATTAACATGACCGATAAAATCAATTACACTCACAGACACAGGCAGTGCTTACAAGGCTGCAACTGCATGTGCGCTGTGAGCTGCGAGCTGAGAGCTGCAGACACAGCGCACGCACACAGGAGCGACAATTGCATTAGAACATTTCGTCCTGCGGCGCTCATCCCGCCCCATGTCGTGTTCGCTTTTCGGTTCGTTTGGCTCTCCAAATCCTTTTTGCCGGGGATATCTACGACCATGTCTCGCTGGCAAACTGTGTGTAAACTGCAGTGCAGCCCCCTTGCCAGCCCCCTCCTCCCAACTGCCAACTGCACCACTGCATTGTCACAGACACCTTGCCCCTCTAAGGCCGCTTTCGAAAGGCTTATCCTGTCCAACATGCTTAAATTGTTTCTTCCTGTCACACTGATTTTACTCGATTTATTTCATTTCGACTTGGCTGCTGCTGCTGCTTCTGTTGCTGCTGCTGCTCTGTCTGCTGCGGACTCTGAATTTATTTTTATGCCCTGCACTTACGGGCTTTAAAATCTGAATAAATATTCCAAGGGTCCTCGAGGTGAGCTGAGATGGCATTTAAATTTATTTAATTGCATTTCACATGCAACCACCCCCCCTAAAACTATGATATTCTATTCCCTGAAAAGAACTCTCCTAGACTGTTTAAAATCCTTTAACACGCATAAATATTCATTGGGCTACCATAAGCCCCCCCACACTCCGCACCCGGTAATCCAGCCCAAAGCGAATTCCATGCATTTAATTAAGTTTTTCAGTGCCCTTATCCCGGTTCCTTCTCTAAGCAGGTCGCAGTTCAATTGAAATCCGAAAGGTAAAGTTGATTTTTCTGTTCAATAATTTCTCGGCAGACAAATTAACGCCAATTGCCAGGAAGCCCTTGGACTTTGGACCGGCTTGAATCGGATGCCTGTAGGTGGTAGGTCGGTTTGGGGGAGGACTATGAGCTTTCATAAATTCGCATTGATTGCGTTCAATTAAAATTCAGTTATGCTCCGACGGCGCCTGGCAGTTACAAGGGAATATTTTAATTAATTTTCACGCGCTCAGCATAAAATTTTCGTTGCAAAACCAGAAGCAAATTTTGTGCGTATTGCGATGTTGCTGTCGTTTGAATCATTTGAACCTGCAAAATAAATTTCTGACATTTACTTATTTGGTATTTTTCAAATAAATGGGATGTCCTCAACATCCTTTCAATATCAGATGTTTGTTAAATCGATTGCGAACCAAATAGTTTCATTTATCCCACAACCATTTATTTGGCTTTGTTAATTTTTTTCTGGTTTAGTTTGTATAAAGTCGTCTAAATTTTTTTGCATAATCATGTTTTATTGTTAAGAAATAAATTAATACATATTTAAACCGTTCCAATTAGATTTCTCATTTATAGGCGGAAAATTTGGTTTTTCTCCTAAATGCAAAATTTTTTAATTGAACCCTGCTTAGAAATTCAATAAATTGAACAAGAAAGGCAAGCCAAAGTTTATATATCCTTGCAGCTTTTGCAAAAAATAGGTATTTTTGAAAACACTTAAATTTCGATTTATATACGTATATGTTTATAAACATTGATGATTTCAATTACTCGATCGTCCTTATGGCAGCTATATAATATCGTTTCTCGCTTTGATTAAAATTAAAATCGTAAATCTGAACTATCCAAACATTACTATTTCCAAAATATTAAAAAAAAAATAAAAAAGCAGCAAAGTTATAATTATTTTTAATTTTTTTCCGATTGTTTCTATGGGAGCTGGATCCTATAGTCGTCCGATCCGGCAAGTTCCGACTTATGTACTACCTGAAACACAAAAAACACATTTGGGAAGTTGAGAAAGCTTTAAAACTGAGATACTAGTTTGCGAAGAAACGGACGGACAGACGGACATGCCTAGATCGACTCCCCTATTGATGCTGATCAAAATAATGTCTTCTTCACTGCGTTGCAAATATATTACCCTTTGCAAAGGTATAAAAATGATAACTTTGCTGTTTTTTTTAAACTTTTTTCAGTTCTTCGAGGTATAGTAATGGTTAAATATTACAGAACTACGGTTTAAATTTGATCATAAT